TGGAGATATAAACGTGGCCTGGAACACAATTGACAATGACGCAGTCTATGTTTTCGCATGGTATTCCTGTTAACAATGAAAGCTTTGAAGATGAAATAAGAAAATATTTTGGTTAAGTTTGAATTGAAACTTGAAACTAAATACAAAACACAATCAACTTACTTGGTCGATTAAAATTTGACTTGTATCTTTACCGTCTGACCAATCAATTACAATATCATGATAACCTTCGCCTCCAATCTTGACTTTGATAGTAACTATTAAAAGTACATTGAAATAATTAACATTTATAGATATAAGAATATTAATAAACTTACCTCGGTCTTCACGAGGTTCAGTATCTTCCATTGCATCTGCCATTTTCAAGAAATATAATTATCTATAAATGAGTTGAAAATGTTATTTGAAGTGTTGGAAAATAAATGAACTACAAAATTCAAAATTATGTCAAAATGAACTTAAACTTGAAGCAAAGGAAAATCAGAAATACAAATGAACCAGAACAAAGGTTTGTCTTCGAAACCAGAAAAAGGCAAACAAAGACAGGAGGAGTATTGATCAATTTTCCCTGTCTTTGTCCCTAACTCGATACAGAGCGCTTATTTTAAAATTAAGCTTGCGCGTCTATCAATAACCGTAATAGACTCGGACGATTGGTCTTTGTTGTATTACACTTCAACCCAGGCAACACGATGAGTAATAAGTAATGTTCACGAAATTTTCATGAATTTGTGATGAAGTCTTAAGACAATCAACTAGGCTTATCGATCCAACAACAGTGAAAAAATATTACATTATGATCATATGGGTTCGAAGAGCAAGTCTTGACTATTCATAAAAGATATTGTTTCTCTCTTATACTCTGAGCAATGCGCCATGAACTACAGATGATGATCAATCGCATTGAATTCATAGTAATCTGGTTCACTATAAAAATCAAGGAGAGACACCTATTTGCCATAAAGACTTGCAAGGTATTACATTGGTGAATAATTTCGTTCTGGTTTATTGACATTTCATTACATTTTTGATAATAAATACGCTTTTGTGGTTCACCCATTTTGGTCAATCTTTCAGTCTATGCCTTATTGAATCTCTTGCTGAGTATAAATTGATCAATTTATGTTACATGGTTATTAAGGGTGGAACACTTTACAGCTTTCGATTATTTATTTGTCCAAATAACTAAAGCCATTGTAATCACATTAAACATTTCAATGAAGGATTTTCCCTGTCATCCTCTCTGTTAAGATAACTTAACCAAACTTTTACAAGATTAAAATGAAACATCTTCTCGTCAACTTTACTCCTGTCTCCTGTCGCCTTTTCATGACAATCTCTTCGAGATCACCAATGAATCCTTTTTGCTCAGTTTTATTACTCAGACCATCATGTTGTTCAATCTCCAAATCACCAATCCTTAATAACTTGCCTGTACTTCAATCAGTAACTTACAATTACTGTCGTTTACTTTCAACTGAACAACAACAAAGCTTTACAAATGAAAATAAAACATCAACATCTTTACAACGGATAGACATCTAATGAGATATGTTGATGAATTGATTGATATCGTGAGAAACCTCGACGAACTTGGTTAACAGTGATTAAAGTGCTCATCACGATGTTTGCTGGTGTCAACTTTGGTGCGTATATGGCTAAACTAGGCGCTCGACTTCTGGATAAATATGAGATATTTGTTCGTGATGCAGAAGAAGACGATTAATGAATTAAAGTCACCAGGAATTTAACCAACTGTAATCAATTTGGCCTCAATAAAGTGACCTTCTTTTCACTCTTCCAACTGCGAAACTTCCATTCTTCTAGTTCAATGTTTTGTCTCACCCATCGAAGGATCGATTAATGAATTTTGCAGCTACACTGACTTCTAGTGTCTTTTTTTTGGTAAACTGAACTTGGAAAAGTGTCTTGTTCATGTAACTGTTCAATTTAACACAAAGACAAACTAAACCAAAATGGATCATATTCATTGCTTGTAATACAATTCAGTGTAAATTATCAAGCATCAGATTCAGTTGAACTCTTTCAGAACTTGAAATGAAATCCATGACATTTATGGGTTAACAAATGTAATAAAAGGTTTTATGCAAAGCTGAATGACTATTTGATAGTTTATTCACAATGTTTATCCAAACATTACATTTAACAGGGTTTCAGTGAATCGAGTATAATGTTGTCTAGTTATAACAATAATCAAATTTTACTTAATCGAAAGTATTTTCGTTTAAAAGCAGCTCACGAATCCTACGGATATATTGTACGCTAAGAGTTAAGATCATGTGGATGGAATCGGCAACAGGACTTTGCGTAATGCTGGGTCTCAAAAGCCATTGCATCTCTTGCATGTAAATCGTAATCTCCAACTCGTAATTTCAATCATCAATTGGAGAAACTTGTATAAGATTAATTAAGTAATCCCAGTTAATTGAAAAGAATTGATTGATTGTCCAATGAAATGGTTCAATGTGTTATAAGAAACGAAAACAAAACGGAATCCAATTCTAACTCTTGATGCCCAGGAAAAAAGAGCACAAAATCAATAAAATTGATTCTATGCTTTTTTGTACTTTAATATTGATTCACCGAGTAACATTGAAAGTTGTCCAAAGAATATGATTTGACTGACAGTTTGCCTCATGAACCTTGATGATTGAAACGAAGTCAAAAATCGCTCAACAAACAGATTATCTGCCATTCCCTGATTGAAACACTGATCAATCAGCTACTCTAATAAAATACAAAATGTACAAATTGCTCAAACGATTTTGTCTAAAAATCTGAAAAATACGATCAATAAATGTGTAAAAAATTGTTTTTTGAAGATAATATCAATTACATTTATGAATTAAACTGGTAAAGGATGCTTAAAAACATCGAAATCCATTTCAATGTCAATTGTTGAATTGAATTTAACTTTGCTAAACACTCAATGTAACATCAAAAGGAATCCAGTTAATTACAAATCTATATAATTAATAATTCGCATGTGTGGTCCGGGGGCGGCATTAAGAGATG